ATATTCATGTAGCATTTGCGATAAGCAATAGTTTCAATTATATCTTTATAAGATGGAAATAAATGATAAATATAATAGATAGACTCAATACTGCAAGAGAAAATGAGCAAGTAAGAGAAAGACATATGATGATATAGCAAGATCTATATTAGCGATTGAGATCACCGTTAGATCCTTAGATTAGACGAGGAAGAGAATAATTATCCGATCGAGATAAAAGTATTCTAGGTAGTTAGGTAGATACGTAGATACATAGATAAATATATCTTTTCTATGAGTTCTTTAAATAAAGTCATAAAATATATATTATAGAAGAGGAGGATCTTTGCATGTAATTTTTATCTTTGATCTCTTGATAAGGTTATATTTTCAAACATGATCAAAGAACGATTTTAGTTTTGGTACCTAAGTATACAGAGTGTTCTACAGATAAATGTTAGGATTTCAGTGGGTAAATCTATACATTAAATAAAGAAAATATTTCATATGAATATATGTATATTTGATATACATGAATTTTTGAGTAGTAGTTGTTAAAATAAAATGTTGGGAGTGTCTGCATTTATATCAAACATTCAATTATTTGGAATTCTACGTTTCCAGAAGTTTTCATATTTTCAATCCATTTTTGTTTGCACAGCCCTAAATAAAATATATTTTGGTCATTTCAATATTAGTATACAAAACCATTATGTTAATTTTAGAACACTATTGAACACCACTGATACTACTCAAAGATTGACAAGTGTTGACCACTTAGAAATTTTAGAAATTTTAAATCATTTATTACTAGAAAACCAATGTATATATTACTTGTTATAGTGAATAATCATATGTTATTTTTTATGTAGATAAAAATCCTTAAGTATTAACATGGATATATAATAAACACTACAAATAGTAATTAATAAATGGTAATTGTTATGCAACCGTTGCCTTGATTAGTCTTTTTGAATTATTAATGCTGTTATGTCCATTGAATCAATATTTGATGGTGTAGTGTGATGTCACCAACAAAGTTGCTTGAGGTTTTCTGTTATAATAGTTGATAACACAGTCAAATTTCTTTCTTTGAGTTATAACAGCTATACTAACAACTTATAAGTACTTGTTAACTTGTTAAAAGTACACTTATTTGGTATTAATGTTAAAGTACAATTGTTTCTTAGTGATGTTAAAATATAATTGGTTGTTGATATGCTACACATATTGCTACCTCGAAGAAAGCTCGAATCCCTGTAAGGATTACAAAGGTGGAGTTTAGAATACGTTAATTGATCAATATCTGACAAGTCTCCCGACATTTGGGATTTCAGCAACCGGGTAAAGTAACGATCCTTTCAATATTGCATTTAAAATCTTGGTTCCTTGCATCATGTGTTTAACACTAGAACTACCAACAATTGAGATGTAGCTATCTTTACCAAAACCAGTCAAAAAATGACTAGTTTTTAAAAAAGACGTAAAAGTAGAATATTTTTATATTTCTTGACTTATTATTTTACAAAAGAAACTCCATGTTCTGAGATCTTAAAAATTATATAACAATAATAATAAATACAATAATGAAGAATATTTGGTATTAAAATATTCTTGATACCTAAAATCATGTTAAAGACCAACCAGTCAAAATGACTGGTGTGGTAGTTCTAGTATTAATATACCACCTGAAGTTGTGACATGCATTTATGAAACAACCAGTACAGATGAGTACTCATATATATTTCTATCTACCTATTTAACCGAGTCGATACACTTTGCACGCTTCATGGTCGTTATAAAAAATGCATGTCTACGTTTCGAATGAGCGTGGGCAGTACCGGCTAATAACTTAACGTTCTATTAATAGAAAGTGCGCACGAATGCGTACCTAAGTATAAAGTACACGTATGAGTACACATACAGACACATATATATATATACTTATTCCTTTTTTTGCCTATCGATCGATCGATCGATAGATCGTTCTTGCTCGCGATCTCGAATCTGTAAAGACACGCGCGAGCCTTCTCTATCTGGTTCAGTTTGAAATTGAGCGTGGGTGAACTGCATTTTTCGAAACGCTCTCTTACGCTTGGAAATAAATATCTACCGTCTGCAATATCTACAAGTGTCTTTCAATGTTCCTTCAGACTACCTGTAGTCCTTTAAATATTTCAATTGTATCAATTGTAATAAGATGAAAATCACAAATAAATACATGAATCGTCCAGTCGCGTCCAGTCGGTTAAATCAATTTCTTCATATTTTCTAACTTTTCTATATTTTAATTAAATAAATAATATATTTAGTTATTAAAAGAATCCTTGTTTATATATGTAACTGTTGTATTTAAAACAGATGGCTAGTATTTGTAATAAAATTCACCCTTCGCGAATTACAATCACCTGTTTGAAAACTAAATTCACCCCATTGCTAATTAGATTCATTCATTTGCAAATTAAGTTATTCTACTAAATTGCTTTCTTAAACTTTTTTAATATAAATAAAATCAAATATTAATTTATTATATACTTTACGTTTAAAAATAAGACCAAAATGTTTTATAAACATAAACCATTTGAAGTTTGATTCTAAAGTTATATGATATTTAGCTGTTTTTTGTATGTTGTTTACTAGTTTTCTTTTTTAAAGAATAACTTGGTTGCCTAGATTATCTGGTCCATCCCTACTAGATTGTTATTCGTAAGGGAAACTAAAACAAGAAGTTTATGGAACTGAGATAGCTATATTTGAGGTTATGGTAAAGTAAATTGGAGATACTGTTGCAGAAATGAATACAAATTCGTCATGTGTAAACAGAATATTAAAATGGTGTCAAACATCTTTTCGTGTAGTTGAACAACTTTTTGAATAATAATTTTAGAATAAAGTTTCAAATGAGTTATGTTTATAAAACATTTTTGTTTTATTGTTGAGTTTATTCTGTGTTCAGAACGTGTGTTATGAAAAAATCTTACTAGACACCTAGTATATGAACATTTACTTAAAAAAATAATAATCAACAACGTTTAAAAAAATAGATTTTATGATTGAAATATAGGTAATTGTTGATTCACTCTCGTAATCGGTAATCATTCAATTATTGGTTACAATGTTCGAAGGAAACAAAGTTGTATCTTAAGATCTATAGGACGAACATCTTCTCTTTGGCTGAGGGCCAAAGAAAACGAACGAACGCGTTTAAAAGTCGAGCCGCAACGTTCTCGGAGGAGAAAACGGAACGTTGCTCTCTTCGATTCGGTCGTGTTTTGTCTGGTGGCAACCTTTTGCCAACTACCGCTTTAAACTCAAGGGAGACGAGATAAAATTGTTCACGAGTCTTCCAACTCCCACGTGATTCTTCCTTTCCCGTTTTTTTTTCTTTTCTTTTTTCTTGTTGTTTCTTTTATTTACTCTTTTTTAGCGTCGACAGTTTCTCACCTAACGGCGAAATTCTTACGTCTATATAAACATGGTTAGTATTTACCGGGTCAGTATTTTTACATTTTTTTCTTCTAAGTGTTTTAAATAAATTGTACGTATTTATATAAAAAGAAAAAAAAGAAACAGGTTATTTTAGGAGTCGAATATTATTTAAGTAATTTTTAAGTATCAATAAGTAATGTTTCAATATTTGTAATAAAATATCAGATAAAGATTAAGTTAAGTTAGGTTATTAGATTAAGGTAAGTTAGACACATGAGATGTTGTCTAACAATTCTGAAACAATCTTAATACAATTTTATAACCTAATATAATACAATTTGATATTGAAATTTAATTATTTATACTAAACTAAATATTTATATTATATATTCCGACTATCAAGTTACCTAATGAAAATTGCTACACCTAATATAACACACACACACACCACATCTTTTTATATTGTACAGTTAAAATACTGTATAAGAAATAACCCAATAGATCTAATAATAAACTAACCCTTCTTAACCGTTTTAAAACGGTTCAGAAATCACGCGATTTTAGTACAGAAACAAAGACATTTGAAAAGCAATATTTTCCACAGTAATTTTCCCTTTCTCATAAATGGAGCAATGGTGCCAATGAATAATCTGTGTCATTTTGCAATAACCTGCATATAGTTTACGACTTTCCTTTTCTTCCGTTTCTATTGAAAAATATTTACGGTCTAACAATAAGTAAAGTCTTTACGTATGCAACGTGCACTAGTGTAGTATTTTACTAGTAAGGTATATACACTTATCTTTCTCTCTTTTATATTTTCTTTCTCTGTTTCTTCTAGTAAAAGATTGAATCTATTCCCGATACGCTTGTGGAAAACGAAATTGCATCGGGTAGCTCTGGCTTACCGCCAATAAAACGTCGATGTCGTGATCGTTTACAAGGCCTATGCTCGTTTATTTGGTACTTCCGTTCTTGGCGATCCCACGTTGAGGATTTGTTGTTTTTCTAACATCGCCAGCTTGTTATCACGAAGAAAATTAAAGAGCCACGTCGTATTCGAATTATCGTAGAAATAAACGTGTCAAAATAAAACGAACAAATATACAGTAGAGCATCGATTATTATTTGAATTAATTAGAAAATAAAGGGCTTATGCCAAGTAAGATTACTGAAACTGATCTCAACAAGTTGTTCAATGATACTTACAGTTAGCCAATAGTATCTTTATTAAAAAAAAAAAAAAAAATTTTTGTTAACCCTTTACACTCGGGTGTCAATATAATAAATTTTTTAGGTACCTTTAAGTTCAATTTTTTTCAATTTTATTGCTTTCATACAATAAAAAAACATAATCTACGCAAACTTGACAAACATAGTCGAACTTTTGTTTGTTTTAATGGAGAATTTGAAGTTTCTTGTTTCACGTATACAAAATATCTTTTAAAACTCTGTAGAAGAACTTTACATATTTTATTTTGTTTTCTTTTTTTTTAGACGTAGTTAAAACCTTCGCAATTTGGTCGTCTAAGTTTCAGATACCCTGTATATTTTAATGTATAAAGGAAACAATGAAAGAGAAGTTTTTTTACCTTGCACCAACGACGACTTGCTGTCTAGCAACATCAAAAAGCAGCTGCGAGTATGTTGTCACACCTTCTTCACGAAACATGCTGCTATCCACCAGATCTGTAAAGCAGAAAATTGAAACGACACGTTTGATGATATTTTGTATTATCTTTGAAGAGTATTTAAATTTGAAACATAGAATATCTTGGGAGATATATTTTTTTCTTTTGTTGACCATATGCATACGAATAAGAAAGAAGCAGGTGTGAAAATTTGCTGAGAGGTGTCATAATTACCTAATCGGCAGGTAGCAGATTATTCGATGTAAATTTAGAAATATATGCGTCTATTTTATATACAGCGACTCTAAAGAAACTAAAATATGAATTCATAAAGTTGGCTCACCAAAGTGTACTTTTAGAAGTACATTTCAAGTTTAGTAAAGTTGATTTCCCGTATAAAAAATACGAAAACGTAGAATAACAATTTTTTATGTGAAGTTTTGTTTCCAAGAAAATTGTCTATAAAGTTTTATTAAGTACATGTGTAAATGTTTTTTTTTTTACTTGGGTACTTTGCTAACAATTTGCTAACAAGCTTGGATTGCATTACTATATTTAAGTTCCAATAATATACAGATATATTTAAGTTATATATTGCAAACCATGAGAGTATTTTCCATTTGGTTATAAATAAATTATTGCCAAATGGACTGCTAATAACATTTCTCGAGTTTTGATTTTTTTAAATGTAGATATGCATGATATTACTGTCTGAATATATCTTTAGTTCTCCATTATTTTTAGCATATACTCCTGAATGAGACCTCATAAATAAAAATCAAGTGGAGTTAAAACCAGTGACATTGTTAAAAAATACGAACAGAGTTTAAGTGTTGTGATCAAGTACGAAGAAACCCATTCAACCGATTCTCGTTACTTCTTAAGTACACATGTACTTGATGGAACTTCACAGTCCATTTCCTTGAAAATGAAGCCTTGTAGATAAAATTCTTATTTTACATTTCCAACTTATTTTTATATGCGAAATTAATTTTTTTTCAGTTTAAACCATAATTTTGAGTAAACTCTACATGTATATCCCTAATAAGGTTTCTTATGAATAATCCATTTCCTCGTAAACGAAGCCTTGTAGAAAAAATGATCATCATTCAATTTACTTCTATACGTGAAATTAATTTGTTTCAATTTTTATAGATTACAATTAATTTAATAAATGAATAGAAAAATGTAATTTGAAATTTGCAGAATTCACAATTTAGAAGAAAAAATATGTTTCCTAATTGCCTGTCATTTTCAATGAAGGTGCATTTATTATTTGACATTATCAACTTTTTTATGTACATAAAATTAACTTCATTTTAACTTTTATCATAATTTCTTATAAACTCTGTATATTTTTGATAAATTTCTTTTTTATAATGAAGATTTTGTAAGAAGGTTTTAACCTGACTGACGTTTCATTATTTTTTCTAACAAGTAAGCCCCTCCGTGCTCGTAGAAAATTCATGGAATATCATTTTCTGAGAAAGCTTCGCGAAAACATTTTAAATTCAGTAAAGTGGTCCAAGAACTCGAGGGATCTGGGGAATGGACCGATCGAGGCGTAAAACCGAGTCGAGTTAAGTCGAAGTTGAGTCGGAAGACCGGCTCGTAAAGCGACCCTTCGATACTCGTTGCACGACGACGAGTGCGAAAAGAAGAAAAGGAAAGGTAAAAATAAGAAAAAGTCGAAGGAAGGATCGTGCGACGTCGAGAGCTGTAACGTTGGCATCGTTTTAACGATTACAAAGGGAAGAGTTTATACGGAGAGCTTTTTCCACCTTTTTTGTACTCCTCTCGTTCTCTTTTATGCCATCTATGTCCTACTCTTACGTATATAGGGATACCAGGACAAGTTGATACATGGACAGGTTAATACAACGATATTATTTGGATACTATTAAGGTACACGTGGTTTCATCAGTATTTCATGTTTTTAATTTATTGTCTGACCATTTATGGGAAACCATTTGTTAATACAACATATTTTTGCAATACGGTTTAAGAATTAGGAGTATCATCCTACTGTATTATTTGAACACTGTGTAGATAGATGTCATTGGATACTTTCAGTGTTTGATAGTTTTAGGTTATGGTTTCTATATTTTCAGGCAATTTTATAATACGACATTTTTATAACATAGTCTAACTCTAAAATGATTTGGGAACTGGGGAAATCTCTGTACAGCAGGGGTATTTTTACAATATGGTTCCCCTGTAACACGGTTGGGGAATTGAGGAAATCTCCATACAATTCGGGATGTGATAAGAATTTTTAAGAGTATGCAATGTCATTTGATATTTTTCATTCGAACACGTAAATGTGTTGGATCAAATTTACATATGGCTTATTAGATTTTTAGACTTTTAATTTTATTTGATTAGCTGTGAATCAAATTTTATTTATAAATTTATTAAAGATACTCTCTTTAATAGTTTTTATATTAAATTGTACAATGTTATAATACTTAAAATTTATACTTTCAATATTTTATCAAAAAACACCAACCATTTTAAACAAAATATTAACTCCTTAAGTTGCACGCGGCGTTGTATTACGTTGCGACAAAATTGTTCTTTCTTAAGGGGTTAAACCAATATTTTGGTTTATATTTAATAATATAATTTTGTGTATACACAATATTGTGTATAATATATAAACAACCTATATATATATTTTTTTTCGAAAATAATGAATTCAAACAAAAATGCCAATAATAATTAGAAACTGTATAAAAATGTATCAACTTATCCCTTGATCGTCCTTATCTTATTTTACTTGTCCCTATGTTAGGTACATACGCACATCACGTATTGAGAGAGAAACGTACGCGCGTATGCGATTGCCAGCGCCTTCCCGGAACAGTTTTTCCATCCTAAGCGAACTAGTTTAGCTCTCTGCTAAAGGAGCCGGTTGTACCTCTTTCCATCTCTCAATAGTTCTTTCTCTTTTCATCCTTAGTGTCTACTTGTCTACTTGCTAGCTCCTTCTATCGTTATTTCTTCGTCTATCTCAATTCCACAGCACGCTCGTGACTTTTCATGCCGGTAAACTCGTTTCGATATATCCATGTGGGAGAATGGATAATACTGAAACCTTACCGAGGGGTGCTTTCGATAAGAAGAGCCGCATTTCAGTTATGTTCCAGAAGTCACTTCCCCCCTCCCCCTCTGTCTATCTGTGTGTGTGTTGTGTTTTTTTCTTTCTTATTTGACAAACCTACATACGTAACAGATCGATCGTGATGCTGTTTGAGATTCGTGTTTTGAATTAATATTGGCTCCATGACGAAACTTCGTGTTCTCCGGCATGTCAAATAAAGAAAGATAAAGAAAATCTTTCATAAAGTATTCCATACTTATCACGCACGCATGCACGCACACCTGTAGGAGACATAAAACGTCAAATATTTCGATGACATTTTTTATCGGACTGTTAGGAAAGTTCGTAGTAATTTATAAAAGAAAATTAAGAAGCAACACTTTTATATTTTCATATTTTAAATATTTTAATATACGAAAGTATATATATATGTTAAAATGTTCCTTTGACGACAGCAACGTTTTTACAAAATGACCCTCGACACGCTTTCACATAACGCATCGCATCTCGTGGAAAGGACGTGAAAATTTTCAGACTAGCAACGACAACGATGATGACGTCTTTCGAGCTCTCGAAAGAGTGACAGCCAATTAGGCACGCGCCTGTAAAGAGCCTATGCTTACTGCAAGAGAGAGAGAGAGAGAGAGAGAGAGAGAGAGAGAGAGAGAGAGAGAGAATACTCCAGAACGACTATTTTTTTTTTTTTTACTTCTTATATTTCATTTCTTTCGATGTCGTCGAGTTAACGAAAAAAAAAAAAAATAACATTCATGAACTTATCTCGTTACAGATAAAAAAATATACAAGTTTTCAAGACGTGTCTCATGGACACGTTTAAAGTTTCCTTTTATATAAAGTGTATCTCAAAAATATTTAATGAATTGTTTTTAGTAATAAGTCATTTGTTAATTTTGATAAACATTTATAATTGATTTTTCAAATTTAGATAAAAAATTGGGGTAACTTTCATAGATTAACACATTAGGCCCTTTTTACCGGACTTGTCATTCAGGCCATTTAATTTTGCTTTAACAAAATCATTCATTACATGTAATTATTAATTATTGTAAATATAACAATTAAACAAACTTATGTGCTTTGTTCTATACTGCATTTTGTATAATGAATCAATATTTTAATAAGAATATTTTTGTACAGAATTAAATTTGTTATAAATTTATTATATTGTTTTATAAATATATAATATATATAAATATAACTAATAATTTATATATATTATAATATAATAACTAAATATTATATATATATTATATAATATTATAAATTTATTTTCAGTGCATTTTAAATAAATTATATATTATAATTAATAAATAATATATATATTAAATAAATATGTTTAATGTGGTAAGTGTATCACCTATGGTACACGTGGTCTGAAGAGCAAGTTTAACGTATACCACCGGTGGTACACGTGGCACGCAACGTGTTAAATGTTTGCCAGTATATGTACGTTCTATGAAAATAATTCATTTGAATGTGTTTTTTTCACGAAAGGACCTAATTATAATTATCTTTCGGTAATCACGTTCTCGCCCTCGAAATGGCGCACCTTTTCTACGGACTTTACTCGGATGGAAAGTTCAACGTGGGTGGCTCAATTTTCTTCTCTCGATATAATCCTCATCTCTTTTTCTTTCTTTCTTTCTTTCTTTCTTTCTTTCTTAGGTAGAGGTACCTGCGAAATTGCAGTCTACAAATAAGGACGCGAACGGAGCTCCACTTCGTTCTTGCATAATCTTGCATTTCGTGTGTATGCACACGTATGATTCTCTCTCTCTATCTTTCTCTCTCTTTCTTTCTTTTTTTCTCTTTTCTCTTTTCCTCAGCTTCCTTCTTCGATTCGTTGCAGGACCGAACATCGAAGCACGTGGGTGGTTTCACGGACACTCGATAATTCTCGAAATTAGTCCCGACGAAGTGGTGAACACGAAATT